CTCATTATTACTCCCATATATGACCTACTGTGTGGTAATATGGGGTAACGCCTGTAAATCAAACACACTCCCTGTCTTAAAACTACAGAAAAAAGCAATCAGAATAATCAATTGGTCTAAATATATCGAACCCACAAATCCACTATTCATCAAATCAAATACAATGAAATTCTATGACCTGGTTGACTTCAAAATTGCCCAATTAATGTATAAAGTACATAACAATCTCCTTTGTCAAAATATCCAGAAGCTTTTTGAAATTAGAGATAGTTGTTGTAATCTAAGAGGAATGAATCAATCAGTAATAGGAGTCAATCTGTGGAATAAGCTTGAGACGGATCTGAAAATGAGTAAATCGCTGGACGAGTTCAAAAACAAATTTAAACGATTAGTACAAAAAAACTACATAAAACAAAGTTAAGAAGATAAATTTTATATACTGGTACTTATAAAATATAGTAATACTATGGTTTGTTCCTGTTCTGGATTTTGAACAACTTATTGAATGTATTCAAGAAATGTGGTATATATAATGAATATGAGTTATTTGATATAAAAAGTAGAAAGAATAATGATACATATATACAAACTGAAAGGTGTATCAATAGGTAAGCATAGTACACAAAAGGGTAAAAGTATTTGATGAAATTTAGATTTCTTCCTTTTCTTTGGAAATGATCAATATACATTATTGCTCAAAAAGGGGTAGGACTAGATAAGTTTTATACTTCTTCCTACTCCTTTGAACATATAACTGTGATGATGTTTGTATTACTTACTTTTACTTTTATTTTCCTTTCATAATTTTTGTTTGCACTTTGTCATGTTATTGTATGTTTTATATATGTTCAATAAATAAACAAACAAAAACAAAACAAACAAGGTAAATACATAAACGCACACACACACACACGCACGCACGCACACACACACACACACACACACACACACACACACACACACACACACACTTATTACAAGATATACACAGTGGTACCTCTACTTACGAAATTAATTGGTTCTGGAAGAAATTTCTTCAGTGGAAGATTTTGTAAATAGAAACGCATTTTCCATGTAAATGCACAATAAATGAGAGTTGTGCATCATGTAAAAAACAAAGAATGGATTCACGAATAAAAATGATGGATCATTTAACTTTTAACTGCGTCCTCATCGTTTTTTGCCCTCTTTAGTGCATGTTCTCTCTCAGAAGCATTTTTTTCCTGGCGTTTTGTTAAGAACTGATCCAAGGACGTTTGCTTTTGTTGGCTTATAACAATCCTTCGAAAATGTCCAGGGCAAACATGAGCATAGTGAGCCATCGCCCGACTGGTGAATACTTTTTCTGGGTGAGTCACATTTATGTAAAACTTTCTGAATGCCTCATGGCCACAGGGACGAATGACCAGGATAGTGCAAAGACACATCTCTATCTTATCATCAATCAACATAAACCCACATACCATTGGCTAAGATGCCCCTCTTAGCCAATGGGATGCCAGGATGATGCTCGGTAGTAGCCAATGGCAGAGCAGCTACGAGTATGTTGCATTCAGGAAACTCGGAGCTGCGAGAAGCAACCCATACCGTATTTTTACCTTTCGTATCTTGAAATTTCTTTCATAACAAGAGGCAATATTTTCCAGTTGAAGCGTTTCGTAACTAGAACATTTTGTATGAAGAGACGTTCGTAAGTCGAAGTACCACTGTCAATATATTTTTTCTTCTGTATTTATAAGCTATTACATAAAAATACATTACGCAACTCAACTTTATTTATATAGCGCTTTCAAAGCAGCTGAAGCTGTGACAAAGCGCTTTACAGAACAAATGACAAAACATCAGCAAAATACAATCATAAACAAAAAATCCCCTCCATTTATGCTTTATTATTTCAAGCAGTTAAAATAAAAACACAGAATAAAGAATTAGCAAAGGATATATATATATATATATATATATATATATACACAAACAAATACACATTTAAACATCTAACAAAATGTGAAACTTAAAATAATATCGTAGATAGTAAATGGATGTAAATGTATATAAATCATTAGTGACTAAAAAGTACAACAAACACAAAACCGAGACGGAAAAAAGTAAATAAATGTATAACAAATGGAATATAAGAGTTGGAAAACTTGATTTTCCATATGTAGCATTACCATCAGCTTTTTGAGGTCCTGGGGTGTCCGTGACTGCAGGTGGCATGTGCGTCTGTGTGGAGGGAGGCTGGGCTGGGGGAGCAATGTATTTAAAGGTCATCAGGTTGTTGACGACGTGGTTTCCAACCAGCGTGCTGCGACCAAAAGCCCTCCAGTCAACAACGGTGATGCTGAGCGGTGGGTGGAGATGCTCGTTCTCCGGTAACTCCTACGAGAGGAGAAAAAGGAACTGCGGGAATTGTTTCTTGACAGAGAGTAAACTCGTGGAAACATCTGGGGGGAAAAAAAAAGATGAAAAATCTACGGACCAGCTCAATGGTGTCAACCAGGGTGGTGAAGTTGGGGTTGGACTTATACCGTTGAATGACAGAAGAACGCAACGTTTTTCCAGCGCATTCTATGTACACCTGCAAACACAATATGGTGGACATTTATTTTTTAATACATTGTGTTGAAAAACTATTGGGTTAGTGCCATTGGGACATTGTTCAACTGTATGTTAAAATAAAATGTTTATTTTGAGATATAAAAAATATTCATATGAATATTATAATACATAACACAAATAGTATACAATATAAAATGGGCAACTTAAACAATGGAAGTGGCCACAATTTTTCATCAGTGTATGACAAAAGTGGCATTTTAAATATGGACAAAAATAAAAGCAAAACAAAAAAAGGGTTTGAACAATCATGAAAAATCCACATACACGGATTTTTGATTTTGCAGTGCAGAGGGTTATAATGCAAAAAATTACCATTCAAGGACGGCACCAAATTGCTGAACAGCAATCCAACATGAACAACTACTTTTGGGCCTTTATTCACAAAGATGAACTCACTCAAAATATAAATAAGTAATATATAAATATTATTCGGCTACTACAGTACTACATGCTTGTCTGGTATATCATTTCAAACCCACCAAAAATATCCTTCAGTATAGAGGGCATTACAAGACCCGGTGCAAGTGTATCTAAGTCATGTCTTTCATCTAAGATAAGATAAGATAAGATCACTTTTATTTGTCCCACACTGGGGAAATTTACAGTCTACAGCAGCAAAATTGGGGGGGAAGAAAAAAAACAAAGTGTTTCATTGCACAAAATAAATGTTTCAGAAAGAACTGTGCACAGTTCAATCAAAGTGCAATATAAAATATAGCATTAGCAATGTAGTGGTGAATGGTGATCTTACAACTTCAAACTAGACAGTGGAATCCCTACGCTCTACAAATCACGAAAATACGCATATAGACAGACACTGAAATGCTTTGGGGGGGATACTTTTATAACCCCCCCACTCCAAAAAAAAAATCTATAAAAAATGCTGATAAACCTCAAATACAAATTTTGTACAAAATTAACATGTCCCCAATCTATTTTTTTAACAAATGAATTGGCCAATCAGAATGTGGCTACAAGTTACCTGTCCCTGAAACGAACTATAATAACAATTTTTTAATACAATCAATATGAATCTATAATATACAAAAATGTTGTAATATAATGAATGGATATAATGAATAGATAGAACTATATATCCATGTTTTAAAATAGGTAATTTGTGCATACCTGAGGGCGATCAACAGACAGTAACTGAACCTTCTTAAGCTCTCGTAGACCCCAAAATAACACCTGGCGGAAAGATACAGGGAGTCATATTTACTTGATGAATTGTATGTAATGTTTGGATGATATTATTTTCTGTAGTTTGATGAAGCAATATTTTGCTGTTTTAAAGAATTGTTTTGAGAAAACACACACACACCTCGAGCCTGTATGTACTGAGAACAGGTCTGATGTTTTCAGGCACTGTGTAGATGCCTCCTTCTTGTTCCTCCAAGGGAGGAAGACTCAGCTCTCCAGACATGGGAACCTACACTTGGACGACCGCAACTTGCTATCGACTCATTTTCAAACAATGCTATGAAGAAACAACAGCAAAAGGCACATCTGCTGACCTGCACCAGCTCGAAGGCCGCCAGCAGCTCCCCTCCCGATTGGCTGGCGTAGTGCAGCGGGCTGTACTGCAGTGTAGGTGGTGTGTAGGACTCGGAGAGCAGGCGGACTTCAGGTAAAGCCACTGTGGCTCCCAAATACTCTGCCTTGCCCTGCACATGACATTTGTGAAACAAAATCCTTTCAAACCAATTATTCCTTCCTACTTTAGATATTTCGATTGATGATTTTTTTCATTGTAGTATGTTTGGTATTGCACCTATCTGATATCTGTGACGTATCATCTATTTTCTATTTATGGTATCTAAGCTAAGTCGATCTTTCTTACCAGCGCGTCATCATCATATACTTCAATGACGAGTCTTGGTGGCTCCTCTTGGATGTGTTGAAGATCTCCACTCAGTACGATCTGACTCATCTGCAAGGACTGATTCCACGTGGGGCTGAGAGTCTGACTGATCACCTGATGTGTACAGCAAATAAACACAAGTATACTGACTGCAAACAACAGCTGAAGCTGCAGAATGTACAAGTATGTTATTTCTATTATTTACGTTGGTGGTCTGGCTGTGTGACAAGTATGTGACCCGGGCAAAAGGGTCAGAAAGGCCAGAGTTGTCGGCTGCAATCAACCCCCGAGCTTGATACATGTGACACCGTAACTGGAACTGATGCTGCTCTGCACACACAAACACACACACATACATGCGCACTCACATGCAAATGAACAGCGAAGAAGCAAAACAGAAGTAATACACGATAATGTCACTCAGTAGAGTGAAGATCTCCAGCAAGGCCCAAAAACCCTATTTTGTGTCAGTCTCAAATTATCAACCTCATGCCTAAATGCTCTCAATAAGAGTCGTGCATTATATCTATTGAGAAATTAAGGACAATTGATAAGAAAAACAAATCCTAGATCAACTATTTTTTTCCAGATTTACACCAAAATGTAATCTGCTCTTTCATGTTCCACTGCCAACATTTCTATACCGTTTTTGTGAAATGGACATCGAGAGCAACAATTCCAAGGCACATACACAAACTTCATAAACAAAACAAGTAAAAATAAATCTCGTAAACAATATTTTCAATAATTCAATCCCTTCATGCATCCTGTAACCCGATAACATTTAAGCTGTCCACTGTAGAAACCGTTGTCCCCGAAAGGGTTAAATCAGCATCAAAAATTACTGGACATCCCCGGGGCGCTTGTGTCTTGCGCCTGAAGTAGGCAGCATTTTCACAGCCCCGCTTTGTTCAGCGAAAAGGTCGGTGCTAATGGACAGTCTGCGGCTGGATGGATGCATGGATTGAGAAGCCGATGATGAGAAGAAAGGAGCGTCAGTGCAGAGCGCCGATGCGTATGTGGAACTGGGAGTTGCGGCTTGGAATTGAAGCGGATTTACATGGGACAGGGGTAGAAAGCCAATCTCTCTTTTTCATTCATGAATGCTACAGCTTCTTGTTGCTTTCAAGCTTAGCTTGTAGCAGACGTGTGCACATTGCAGCATGACGTCTTTGATCCACTGGTGAAAAGGACACTTTGATTCACTCCTCTTTCATCGATAACTGCTTCAAACAAAGTGTATGCAGGAAAGTGGTTCAGATTGCACGATTGTCTGTTTTGTATGTTTTGTCTTGTATTATTTTGTCATTTTATGTTAACTGTTCTTTTGATGGCGGCGCGGACACCCGCAGCGGCTCCTCTTGTTTTATGTTGAGAGGGAAGAAATTTCATCTGACAATAAAGTTGTATTCAATTCAATTCAAAAAATACATTTTGGGACACATGAAGCTATCTGATTAAAATTTGTTGACCAGTGTAACAATACAACGTTATACTATGTCTCTCTCTCACCTGTACATGTCAGGTGAGTGGGGGGGCTTTTGGCGTCAGCGCTGCCAGTGACAGCGCTGAAGCCTTCAGGCAGGTCATCCAGCATGTGTGCGGAGTCCGTGCAGGATCCAAACCACAAATACACATCAACTTTGGCTTGCACAGAAAAGCCTGTGGCACGGTTGCCTGGAGGCTGCCGACCAAGGCGACCGGTACTAGAACGGAGGTTGACCACTTCCTCGGAGGCGCTGCTATGGAGACTTTTCCATTGACTAAATGAGCGAGGACCCACTTCACCAAAGGTGTTTTCCTGCAGTGCCTCGCCTGATTGAAAGGACGATCGGACTATTTTCAACATACATTGTATAGCATTATATTGAGACTAAAATGTTGCTTACTCAGCATCCATTGCAGCCTGGACAACCAGGAGGGGAGCTATTGCCCCATCTGTGGCACCTTCTCATGGGTTCTCATTTTTCCCCGGAAGGGGGTGCTTGCGTTTTTCCTTGCCCTACTGGGTGTTAAAATCAGGGGATGGCGTTCATATTTGTCAACTGTGGACATGTGGAAGCCCTTGGGGACTTTTAAGTACCACCTTGGCTCGAATATAAGATGGTGTTTTTTTTGCATTGAAATAAGACTGAAAAAGTGGGGGTCGTCTTATATTCGGGGTCTAGCCATTATATCCATTCACGACGCTAGATGGAGCCAGATATCATTGTAGCGAATGCTGAACTTGACTGCCCAGGCTAAAGTGAACCCCTGTCACAAAGAATAAAAATAAAAATAGCGGTAGCACGAAGAAGTAAAATAAAAAATAGCGGTAAGAAAGAAAATAGAAGAAAATAATAGAAGAGATAACAGAAAATGGAAAAACGTAGCGACAATCTGGAGAAAAGTGGGTCGAAGATCGGCCAGGTTAACCGGCAGCTAAGGAGCAGTTATGATCTCATTTACATTTCAAAAATCGGAAGCCATTCAGTTACGAATGTGATTGCACTTTAGATATTTAAATGTTCAGATATTAAGATTTGAATGAGGAAAAATAACATCCTTTTTCTCTCAAATATATTGTTATAATCATTTGTTTCAGATGTACTGTAATTATTTTCTGTATGAAAATTAATTTGGTGTTCAAAAAGTCTTTTTTCAAACTTGAGTCTTGAAAAAGAGGGGGTCGTCTTATATTCGGGCCAATACGGTATTTTAGCCTGGTCATCTTTTTCTACGTGTATGACCACTCAGAATCCAAATAAATACATAAACATTTTTCATGTAAAATGGATGCAATTGGCTCAACTTCAGGTTAGGGAAGCACTGCAGTACCGTATCATGTTTCTCTTTGGGGTTGCATTATTTTTATTCATTTTAAGTGGGAGTGTTCCTATTTTTCTTCTGTGAGTATTTTGTTTTCTCTCACCAGTTCTTGTTTGCACATTGAGAGGCGTTTCCTGTCCAGTTGCGTCAGGTAGTTGACCTTTAACTGAGCCTTCAACTTGGCCTCCGCCGCCACTATGAAACGCCTGCAAAGACACAATGCTTTATGGACCACTTTGAGAGGTTAACATTTACACTCTTCACATCCCCGTGACCGATTTGAATACCTGGCATCGATGCAAAACTCTTTGACTGTTGTTTTTAATGTCTGCTCAGCCTCGGGATACGACTTCCTGTGGAGTTCAGCTGCCTTGGTCACGCCTCCCTCCTGTAAGTTCGAACAAATATCTGACCTAATGGTCGTACAACATGAATATTTTTAAGTACTTGAGGTCAACTGTCCAGGGCAATGGCGAGTGTGGAAAAGAGGTGAAGAAGCGTTTGCTGAGTCTTGAACTGCCAGGCAGGAGGCCGAGAGGAAGACCAAAGTGTGTATGGATGTAGTGAGAGAGGACATGAGGGTAGCTGGTGTGAGAGAAGAGGTTGCACAAAACAGGGTTAGATGGAGGCAACTGATTCGCTGTGGCGACCCCTGAAGGGAAAAGCTGAAAGGAAAAGAAGAAGGGTCGTACAACATGAAGGCGTTTGTTTGTGTGTGTGCACACATACAAACAGGGCTGCTATGTTCTCCAGCATGTTGGAATTGTACAGCCGATAGGTTCTGTCCTCCCATTGACTCAACACATTGATGCAGGGCTTCTGTTTCTCCAGAGGCAAATACATGTAGTACCTACAGTATAGAAACATGCACATAAACAGACAGTTTTATCGCTCGATCTATCTATCTTGCTATCTCAAAGTGGAGTGGCCGGTGCTCTGCTGCAGCCCGTAGCTGAAAACTGGATTTCATGATACTCAGCTGGTCCTCACGCTGTCCAACTGTCTTTTCCAAAAGCATTTTATATATACAAATGCGCATTGTTTCTCTAAAGTGAAGAAAGAAAAATGACTTTAAAAAAAAAAATTCTACTCTACAATTTTGCAGCATTTATTATCGAGTGTTGTTTTTATGCTTGACAGGTCATCTGTTGAAAGTATCTTCTGAATTCATTGGCATGTAATGGCAATCAACGTTCAGTTTCAAATCACCTATTTTGCCAGTGATATTCTTTTGATGCACTTTCTGAATTAGAAGTTTTTCCTCATTACAGCATTCACCTGTTTCCTTCGACGAGGAGTGGTTTCTGGGGACGTGTGGTGGACTTAGAGGTCCTGCTGGGGTCTTGAGATTCTCTGGGTAATAGTGGGGAGGAAGCGGAGGTCCTGTCTGAGAAATCTTGTGCCTGCCTCCTGCGGCTGAGCGCGGGACTTGGGGTGCTCAGACCGGGCTGGCCCGTAGGCTCCTGCACGTTACCGCAATTCCCTTGGCAACAAAATATAGCAAAGACACATAACCACTGATGTTGAAACCAAATATATGAGACTATTTCAACCACAAATACACAACTAATAATAATAATTGAAGCTGCAAAACAAATGGCACAACCTGGCCACATACAATCCTAGTACTGAGAAAGCACTGATGAAAGTTAGAAATGACCTCCTTGTTATTGAAGCAAAGGTTTTTTTTTTTTTATTTGGACTTGCCTTGATACATTTTAGTGCAGCTGTCGAAACAATTGACCATTACTTGTTGAAGAAAAAGAAAGGTTTAAATCCTATTTGTCAGATTGCATACCGTTTGTGAATACAGTGATCCCTCACTATTTCGCGGTTCTTTTATAGCGGCGTCAGTGCATCGCGGATTTTTTCAAACATATTCATAAAACAATAAATAAATAAAATAAAAATAAAAAATTTAAGTCCGCAAAAAGTCCGCAAACGGTCCAGGAGAAGCAGCAAAAGTCAGCAAAACAACAGCAAGTCACATAGAGCAACATATACAGGACTCCATGTATATGTTTACTGTATTTTGTTATTCATAAACTAAACTAACCCAACTTATACATGTTTAAATCTATTAGTATACAGCATTAAGTAATGTTAATTACGACAAAATTTACTTCGACATGCATGTATACCATTAAATTTGGCCTTATAAATATTTTTTATACTCATACACATGTACATGTACCTATATGGTGGGGGGGGGGGTCGCTACTTCGCAGATTTTCGTTTATCGCGGGTGGTTTTGCTCCCCATTAACCGCGATAAACGAGGGATTACTGTATTGGTACTGGTGATAAAGTAAAATCTTATTTGCACTTTTCTTGACTTCATTTTCAATCTCATTCAGCCATCAAGACATTAAGGTTTACTTTTTTTTTTTTAATGTAGCTTTGGCCTACATTATTATCTTCATTTTGGACACTTCAAATTCAAGACTTTTTAAGGATCAATGAGCAGATAGTGTAGTCGTAAAATTCAGTTTATAATATACAAGTGTACATAAAACTCCGGTCTGTGCAACATCCGTCCATCCATCCATTTTCTGATCCGCTTATCCTTAATGGTCGCGGTGGGTGCTGGAGGCTATCCCAGCTGTCTTCGGGCAGTAGGTGGGGGACACCCTGAACCGGTTGCCAGCCAATCGCAGGGCACATAGAGATGAACAACCATCTGTGCTCACACTCACACCTCGGGACAATTTAGAGTGTTTAATCAGCGTTCAATCAATGTGGGAGGAAACCAGAGTACCCGGAGAAAACCCACGCAGGCACGGGGAGAACATGCAAACTCCACACAGGGAGGCCGGAGCTGGAATCGAACCCTGTACCTCTGCATTGTGAGGTCGATGCGCGAACCACTCGTCCACCGGGCCGCCTATATGCAATATTATGTGGTATTTTGCTTCACCTACCCAGTGAGAACTCAAATGTTACAGGCTTGTCTCCAATCTTTCTGTCAATCATGGTGGCTTCAAACAAGGCCCCAAAGAGCAGGAAATTCTCTCTGTTCTCAGTATTAATCTATAAAAAATAAAATAACCAGACATCTTGAATCATCTGCTCCCTCCCCTTATCAATACTTTGCTTTGAATGAAATGTCAGGAATGGTTTTCTTACTGTTGGCGGACATTCCACAGGTAGAACCTCTGCAACCGCTTTCCCTTTGTCGTCATCAGCTGTACCTCCAGATGTCCCCCCGGCTACTCCTCCACCCGCTGGGGTCTTACCGTCCTTCCCTCCGGCTTTTACCGCCTTTGCATCTCTTAAGGGCTTCACCATTCGGGCAAGTTTGGACTCTGGGGCTGTCCCGCCTGATAGGATCTCCACCGCCAGCTCTAAAAAGACACGCCCCCTAGAGGCAGGAATTCATCTACTTGATTGGTTGTTTCTTTATTCTCCTAATCACCAATATTTTTAACAAACCGATAAGAGACTCCCTCTCCAATGCCCTCGTTAAGTTCGGCTGTGTCGTCACCCAGAGAGTTTCTGACGGAGCCATACAAGTTTATCCAGGCGGGACCAAAAGTTGGCAAAAATCCTGTCGAAACATCAGGACTAGGGTTATATTTCAGCAAAAACTTCCTACATCACGGAGCTCAAACCCGCTGCCTTACCTCTGTCGCCATCCTGCTCATTAGAGATGCGCCTCAGGTCAAAGTAATGGGTTCCTATGGCAACGTTACTCACACTTCCTTCATCCCAAACCTATGAGGAAACAAGTTTTGGATAAGAACATATATGGCGGACACTCGGACTTTTGACGGTTTCAACGTTCGAGTTGCATAAACCGTCAGTTGGCGCGACAATTGAACTGAGTCTCTCAATCAAACGTTCATGGACAGAATTGGCAAACTACTGCACTAAGTTGTTCAACAACAAACCATTTGGCCTGAAATTTAGAACCGTCAAACTGATTTGCCCTTCTATTGAGAGAATTGTTCAACTTTTCAACCGCCCTTTCAGCTATAAGTTCTAGCCATCAAACCTGAGTTGCGTAATTTCACTTAGCCTAAAATTCAGAAATGTCAAATAGAAATCTTAAACCACAGAATTGAATTGCCGAACCAATAAACTTCAACCATCAAATGAAGTCTCGGAACAGTACAATAGTTGCTCAATCAGTGAACCTATTTGCTCCACCATCATACTGCATCATTAAACTGTTGTAAATTAAGGTGTACAATATCAGAGAGACCCGCTGTTCTTTACATACAAATTCCAAAACATATGGATTGAAAGGCAGAAGCTTTCAGACCTGGATCTTCATCCTCTGGCACAGAGGAGGAAACATCTCTGTGAAGACGATCTGTTCATTCCACACTGGATCTGCGTTGGACTTCTGTGTGGAAGTGCGCCCCTTAGAGGTGAGACGGAGAAGAGCTGGGCTCTGTTATGTGTTATATGAGTAGAGGCTGTTTTTCGAGGAAGGTATTCACTGGGGATATAAGTTTGGGATCTTTCGATATACTTTTTCTTTTGTTTTGACTGTTTTTTTAATTCATGTAATTTTAATTAGTTTTAAGAATTTTTAAATTTGTTTTTATTATTATTATTTTTTTTTACCATTAGTTTTTTTCTGTTTTTGTGAGGTTTTAGTTGAATTTTTTAATTAGTTTAAGTATTAGTTTTATTTATTTTTATTTTTTTACTGTATAGTTGTGGAGTATTTTTTGAGTGCATGATTAAAAACAAAGGTCACATTACATACAGTATTGTGGAACAAAGTAAACTATAATTCAATTCTCCAACACCTGCTCAAACTTTCTTGTTCTATACAATCAAAGAGTAATACCAAAATAAATACATTTAATATAAACACTGAAAGCTAATTTTAGTTATTCCACTAGTTTCCGTGAACAATATTAACCGTGATCTACACACAACTGATCCGGGCCCCACCATTTGTTTGAAGAAGCTAACAACCACGAACGGGTCTATGAGCGCTGTGTTGTCTCCAATGAAAGCCTTCGTGACATTGGCCATGATGCTGGAGTTGTTGCGAGGAAGACCTTCCGCTCGATACACCTTCACAGAAAAACGAGCCCAGGGACGTTCCGACGGGAATCCTTCTGGTATCAAGAGGTTCCTAGTAAAAGCGTTTTAAATATGTAAAAACAACAGAGGTCCAATTGCTTGTAAAGAGATAACTGACATTTGGCCCAAGCGAGACCAAAAAAAAAAAAACCCAACAACAAAAAAACGAGAGCATTAATAAAACTTGACTACATACTTTTCTATTTGTTCCTCAGCATCACTGGCTTTTATCCCAGGCTGCATGGCATCACCCTTTGCCGAGACACTAATGTCACACTTGACGTAACCTTTGCACCCTGTGCTGATGTCACCAGGGACCGTCAGCATTGCCCACTTGTTGATGAATTGGTGACCTCAAATAGAAAAATAAAAAGCATGTCAAGGAAAGCTGGTATTAATCTTACACATTGTGTAGACCAAAAGAACTAGACCTCATTCTTGCATTTTTACTTCTTTGAGTTAGAATACGTCCCAATGTGTTTGTCTGTAAAATGTATAGCCACATCAGGTATCGATTGTCATGTCTGTCTGGTTTGTTTTCAGTCCCAGCTGGTGGGAAGGAAGTTTCCCTCCAGCAGGCGCACTTGTTCCACATTTACCAATAAAGCCTGCCAAGTATTTAACTCATTCAGTACCAGCCAATTCTGGACCAAGTCTGAAAAGACGTTTAAAAACGTCTTTGGGAGTGAATGAGTTAAGGACTGCCAAGCTGCCAAGTCGCTCGTCGGATTATTGACCTTGCTCATTGTTGTGCTTCGAGTGTTATTTTCTGGACCGCTCGATACTGTTCAGTCACTCTCGTTTTGTCATGGAACTTTAAGTATTTTCATTACTCCTTTTTAATCAGTTTTGATGTTTGGTTTAGGGTAGTCATGCAAAATTTCCATAAATGTTGGACTGCCACAATATCAACATTTGAGCCAGTTGTATTGGTAAGATAACGTAAGCGACAACATGCAACATTGCCATAATGTCCACCTGGTTGTTTATAGACTGTCCACACGTCCAGCTTGAAGGAGCCGATGCAGAAGCTCCTCAACATCTTGGAGTGCATCACCTTGCAGATCGAAAGAGGAAAACAACCATGAGGCATTCAAGCATCTGACAAAACGATAAAATCTACCTTTTGCATTTGGACTCACCGTCAGCCTGATGACTTTGTCGAAGAAGATCTCTTTGTAGGCAAAGAAGTCAAACACAAAATACTGAAAGCAAGAAAGGAGGGATGGCTCCACTACATGACTCACGCTTGATCGGAATCTTCATTCCTATTCATTTGCAGTGTTCCTTTTGTCATTTAATTTTGTTCGTCCTCCCACCTCATTGTAAAAGGGAGCGTTGGTTCCCTCTTTGACTGTTGTTTGTTTCTTTTCGTCGCCAATCTCAATCATGACACTCGGGTCGATGTTCTCGCCAACCAGCTGCTTGGCCTCTGTGATGTTAATTGCAATCTGCACACACAAAAATACACGAAGCACATTCAACCACAGTAATTCATGTTTAAATTAATGTGCCTCTGATAGTGTACACTATATACAATACACACACACACACACACACACACACACACACACACACACGTATATATATATATATATACACACACACACACACACACACACACACACACACACACACACACACACACATTGCATACAGTATACACACACACAAGTGTGTCTGTTGCGTTTACCTGGAAGCTCTGTGGTTTCTCTTCATTATCCTGAATGCGAGTGTTGAGTTTGGCCCTGGACAAAGTCGCTACATTATGACAGGAATATTGAACAAGAGTAAAGCATGCCGTATGATGTGCTGTCTATATATATATATATATATATATATA